TGTTGATGATAGTAGACAGTTTCAGCGTGATAGTAACCGGGTATGCAATTCATTTCTTTGTTTAGCACAATTAAAATTTTAATAAAAAACAAATTTGGTTTGGCTTTATTTCTCTTTGAAATTTGTCTTTTGGGACAGCTCAAGGAGAAAAAGGTAATTAGTCAATTTTAATCTGTCAAAAAAAAATTAGAGGTGCATAGTTTATTTTTTTACGAGCATAGGTATCTAGGGGAACTTTGAATTAACTGCAATTAATAATAATAATTTTTATCTTCTATACTTACGTTTAAATTTACATCATTGCCATTCACAACCCTGTATGACGACCCTATATTTAAGATAATAACACCACTACAATACCTTGAAACTAAAAAAATGCGCGCTTTTCTTCTGAAAAGCTCATTAAAATCGATAACGTTATAGAAGTACCATGACATTAAATATTTATGAACAGGTGGAGAGGTAACATTATACCATTTTTAAGTTTAGTAGAAAAAAGTGTGTACCTAGTATTAAATCCCTCGTTTTATACTTTTTTGAAATTTAATGCGGATGTGTGACTCCAAAATGAGCGTTGACCGACATCATTAAAAGTAGTATGAGCACTGTTTTTTTTGCTATTTTCTACAGATAGGATTCATAAACATACTTATTCCTTTCCTTTTTTGTAGACCATTGTATAGATTATGAAGCTTTTAAAGTTCTTAAAGAAGATGATTTTAATGAACTTATACCAAAAATAGGACTAAGAAGAAAAGTAATCCAGCATTGGAGAGAATGCATAATAAATGTAAGATCTTCAAATGAGATTTTCATGAGACTTTGTTGTCCATCTGTCTATCTTTCAATCTTATAAATATTCTTTGAAAAAGTTGAGTTTTAAGAAAGTTTGAAGTACAATAAAATCACCAACGGAAGAAACCAATCCTGATTTTTACAGCACTTGCTCACATTTTCCAAAGAATACTTAAACGGTTACTAGAAACTTGACATTCTATCTCTGTCTGCTAAGGCTCTCGCATCACACATTAGTTATATACAGGGTGAGTCGGGATGATCGCACTAACTTCCAGGAGCATATTCTACACGTAAAAATAATACATAAAAACATAACATATAACGATATGTTATTTGTAGGACATAATTCAAATTTAAATACAATTTGTTAGTATTATTATAATGATATGTACTGCAAATAAAAATTATTATTATTATTATTATTTTTTTTTCGGTTTCCCGATGCCGGTCAGTCCTCCCGTGGCCTCCGACGCCTCACGGGAGTCGCGCCGGCGCATCAACTACAGCCACTCCCCACATCCCGCAGGGTTAGTGACTGTAGATACCAGAATCGTGTGCCCTAAGCAGACAGAGAGAACCCAGAATGACCGCCTTCTGCATTTGACCTGCCAGCCACTCGGCTGGTTTTTGGCAGGCCGGTATGATCTTCAGTTCCGAGAGCAGCGTAGGCTTTATCCCTCCGAGTACACCGATAATAAGGACGACCATTTTGACCGAGTAGCCTGGGTACAGCACTTGGAGCTCGTTCCGGAGATCGCGATATTTGGTCCGTTTCTCCTTCTCCTTCAAGGTGATGTTTTTCTCCGCAGGTGCCGAGAACTCGATAACATACATCACCTTGAGTTGATGGTCGAGGAGGACTATGTCAGGCTTGTTGGCTTGGATTAGCCTGACAGTCGGGAACGAGTAGTTCCAGTAAATCCGGCATTTCTCGTTCTCGACAACGGACTCAATATCTCCGGGGACGTAAGGCAGCACTGGTGTCTGGTCTACCCCGTACAAGTGCCTTAGATGGTAGTATAGCACTCGTAAAGCCGCGTTATGTCGGTGGATGTAGGCCGAAATCGCATATATGGGGCATGCAGATAGTAAATGCATGAGCGATTCCGGCGCCTGATGGCAGGTCCTGCAGTTGATATCAGGAACCTCTACACGCCACACGCGGCTACGGTAGACCAAGGTGTTGATAACACCATCTTGACAGGTCATAATGAATCCCTCAGACGATTTGGCTGAAGTTCGGTGACTGACTCAACATCAGCACCTCGCCGGCCTCCTCGCCTGATGTCAAATGCGAGACCGAGTTCATCTGCGGCTCTCTTTGCTGCCTTAAACAATCTTGCTCCCACTCCTACAGTTTCGTGATGTTTCACAAACCGCAAGAGGGGATCTGAGCTCCTGAGGATGTTACATGCCATACTCAGTACTACTCTGCCATGCGTACACTCCAGGCTCAAGAGTCCTCGGCCCCCCCGTTGACGTGGGAGGTACACACGAGGAACGGACGATCTAGGATGAATACTTCTGTGAGTATTCATCATCTTGCGGGTATTTCTGTCTAATTGGCGCAGCTCATCTACCGTCCACTTTACTACTCCGAAGGAGTAGAGCAGAATCGGAACGGCAAGCATATTAGTTGCAGACACCCTGTTCTTCCCCGAAAGTTCAGAAGACCAAATCTTTCGGAGGCGGTGTCTGTACTTGCCGCGGAGAGATTCCTTTATTTGTGTTACATCCTGGATGTGCCTTTGTTGCACACCCAGGTATGTATAGGTTCTCCGGCATCCAGATGTCTTAGGATGCTTCCATCTGCGAGCTGCGCATCTTCAGGGAATTCCCCGCATCGTCCTCTCTTGAGGAGGACGACTGCACATTTGTCCAACCCGAACTCCATACCAATTGCCCGCGTATATTCTCCGACCACCCTAAGAGCGTTTTGTAGTTCGCGCTCTCCGGAGGCATAAAGTTTAAGATCATCCATATAAAATAGATGGGTGACCTTATGCCTCCGGTTGCTGGGTGGTCCACATTGATACCCGCGGATTTGGCGGAGACCAGCAGACAACGGTAGCAGTGAGATGCAGAAGAGGAGAGGACTCAGGGAGTCGCCCTGGAAAACTCCCCTCCTAAATGCCACCTGCTCTGTCGTGACCCGCTGTGCACCTGATGTTATGGTGAAGCGAGTCTTCCAGAGTGGCAGCAGCTGTTCTATGCATCTCACTAGTGGTGCTGGTACCGCAAGACATTCGAGCAAGTGCAACAATAGCTCGTGCGATGTTGTATCAAATGCCTTGCGGTAGTCAATCCAGGCCATCGATAGATTCCGCTTGTATTGCACAGAATCCTGTGTAATACAGCAGTCTATCAGCAGGCTGTCCTTGCAACCTGCCATGCCCTTCTTGGCACCACGATGTTCATGTATCTGCTGGAAGACGGGATCAACAGACCTCAGTGTCCTAGCATACAAGATACGTGTAAATATCTTGTAGCAGGAGTTGCGGCAAGTGATCGGCCTATAATTCCTCGGGTCGGAAAGATCCCCCCTTTTTGGGGATAAGCACAGTACGTCCCTCGACAAACCAGTCCGGAATCTGCTGCCCCTCGTTCAACTATGAGTCGAAAACTCGCGCCAGACGGCGGTGAGTGGAAGGAAATTTCTTCCACCACCAGTTGTTAATGCCGTCTGGGCCCGAGGCAGCGAAGTTCTTGGTACCAACAAGTGCTTGTTGGACTTCCTCCGTACTGATTGCCGGGCACACTTCTTCTGGCTCTTCAAGATATCTGTGGCACAGAGCCTCGAAGTGTTTGCCTACTAGATTATTGTTGAATATATCAAATCATACGTCCCTACAGGCATTTTCTACTCAAACACAATTTTTTAAATTTCAACTATCCCTTATGTCATAATATTCCTGGTCTACTTGGCTATTGTTGATTAAGTTCAATCATACGTAGGTACAAACATTTTCTACTTCTTTTCAATGTTTGTCTTATTTTAAACACATTTTTAATTATGCTATTTTTATTATAACGGATTATGACAAAAATAAACAGAAACATTTTTCAAAACTTTTGAATTATAATTATAATTTGATTTATATAAAATTGACTTTTTAAAGGATTTCATATGTACCATTTGTTATACAGAAAATATTTCAAAAATGGTACACTTTTGATATAGGTATATAAAAGTTTACACAGTTTTGCATTATATTATAATAAAGAATCATGAACTGAAATGAAATTTGGGGGCTGTCATAAAAAAATGAGTTTTGACATTATAGAAACGTAAGTTAAGTTACATTTTTTGATCACCCCGTGTAATTATTTTTGTTTCAGTTCATATTCACTTGAATCTCTAAAGTCTCTCCCAAAAAGTGTCTCTTTAAAATTTGACTTAATTAACATCTGTCTGATATTTAAGTAGATAAGCAAAGAGAGTTCTGGACCGGAAGTGGGCTCTGTGTGAGCTCGATGGCATGTGTTCATCGAGAGCGTTCAAGAGGTTGTTGCGGAGCTTCTGGTCATTGTCGTTGCTGAAGAAGTCTTCAGGGTTGAAGAGCTTATGGTCATTGTCGTCGGTGAAGACTGCCTGGTGTTGTATGACGTAAGACTCTGGCAGCCATGGCGGCTGGGGCTTAGAGAAAAAAGCATGCGCAGTGGGGTATATAGAAAAAAAGCTGTTCGCCTGGGCTTATAGAAAAAAACATGTCCGCCGGAGTAATCTAGAAAAAAACATGATCGCCGGGGGGTTATAGAAAAAAACATGTCCGCCGGGGGATTCTAGAAAAAAAACATGGCCGCCGGGGGCTTATAGAAAAAGCGTGTACGCCTGGGCTTATAGAAAAAAATCATGGCCGGCGGGGCGTGGGCAGTAGTGGGGGGCTTTTCTGTTTTTCGCTTATAACTCTAGACCCGTTGAAGATAGCTAAAATTTGAAAGATGTTTTGATTCGATGTTTGTTACATATGGGCTATCACGTGGTGTGGGTGGCAGCCCTGTATGTAGTGCCTTTCTGGTTGTGAAATTTTTGTCTGAAGCCGGGATGACTCGGCAGATTTATACTTGAACAAATAATAATTTATATTAATGTACAGCAGTGTGATAAGAAAAGCGCAAAGTGCGATATGATGCTATTTAAGTAGAGAGGTCAACTAATTGAAATTTTTATCATTATATAAATTAAAGTGAAACAAAAAAAATGTTAAAACTGACATTTGAACTCAAGATCTTCAGTCTAACGCTCTCCCACTGAGCTATTTCAACTACTAATGAAAGATTCTTATATATAAATTAAACGAAAAATATCATTTCTATTAACTAATTTATTTTAATAATTTATATTTTACATATTTACATTTTTTTATTTTTTTTTAATATTTAACATTTATGGATGATGGCTTGTGGTGGGGGTGGATATCCACGGTGGTCCTCCAGAGGTGCTGTGGGGGGCGAAGGTCCACCGCGGTGCACTGTAACAATAGTTTTATGAGATAAAAAATAATACGCTTTTTAAAAAATTAAATGATTAATAACCTGAATAATATATATACCCCTCCAATTCCGCAATATTAAATGCTGGGTGTAGATCCTCCCGCGGCTCTGTGTGGTCGAATGTCCACCACGGTGCACTGTAACAATAATTTTATGAGATAAAAAATAATACGCTTTTAAAAAAAATTAAATGATTAATAAACTGAATAATATATATATACCCCTCCAATTCCGCAATATTAAATGCTGGGTGGAGATCCTCCAGAGGCTCTGTGTGGTCGAATGTACACCGCGGTGCACTGTAACAATAATTTTATGAGACAAAAAATAATACGCTTTTAAAAAAATTAAATGATTAATAAACTGACTAATATATAAACCTCTCAAATTCTGTGGAATATGTCGTTGAAAGATCCTCCAGAGGCGATGGTGCGTCGTCGCTGTAATTGAATAATATTCTCTAAGAATTCGATTATGTATGTAATCAATAAATTTATTTTTAAATGTATAAGAAAATAATCACCTCTTGATATTTTAAGAAAATAATGAAATTTTACTCACGATTTCCACGGGCATGTACATAAATCCATCGTACAGCCGTGCTCAATACAGTCGACGTTGCTTTGCGGGGCTAGGTCATCATCATCACTATCACTGTAATTGAAATATGTATGTAATAATATTTTATAAGTAGTAATTCACTCACTTTTCGGAAAAATATCCCCACAAAGACATCTTGTCTGCTTCACAATTAGCTACGTAAAATATAATTTATGAGTATTGGCGAGGTTTTATACAAGTATAGCCGGAATAAGGAGGGACTTTTTAATTAGAAATCTCCAGATACTGTATAATATCAATAAAAAGTAGCGGCTCATTATATCAAGTGGAAATAAACAAGTAATTATATCGTGTGGAAATAAACCCAACAAGCTGGGTTATCAACTTTGATAATTTACAATCAAGGCACACAACATCTGCAAAAATGTAACCTCATTAATACCTGCAGTTAATTAATACCATATAAAGCCGACCGGATGTTGCAAGTATGATAATAATGCTGACGTTGATGGATATTTATGAGTTGAAGGATGTCGAGAAATATATTTTACCAATTATGGGACTATCGATGTGTATAAAAGCATAAACTGAGATAATTTTACATTACATCCAAGTTTTCACATCAAGTTAGTTCACTGCAAGTGTGTGTGTGTTTATAAAAAAACGTAAGTTCTATTAATTTTTATTTTTGTAATTTATTCACAAACATGTATAAACATTTTTAGATGGATTTAAGAAAATTTAATAGTGTGTCTGTCTTAAAGACCAAACCCAACATTAAGCTGGTGGATTTTCCAATAAATGTACCGATACCGATATTTTCAGCTAAATTGGTAAAAACGAATTTTGGTGAAACAATATTTTTAGAATTCGAAGATGGGATTACTTTTTTGCCGCAACGGATGACGCTTGTAATGAGAGACGACTTAGAAAATTTTACATCAGGGAAATATTGTCTGGTATTCGAGGGGATGAAAGACGTGAATAAACCGTCGTTAGGACCATCATTCAAATTTATTGAAAACGAGAATTGTCCTCCAAGCGGTGCATGTAAGTAAATTTTCATGCATTTTGATCATTTTTTTACTAAGCGCTATTTTTTCTTTTAATTTTAGTTGAATCGCAACAAGAATCGCAACGATGGTAAGAGGTGATAGCGCTATCAGCGAAGGCGAATCCTCCACACAATAAAGAGCCCCAATAACTTAGTATGTATAAATATATTATTTGTAGAAAATATTTTAAAACTCGTATATTTGTTGAAAACCACGCATTTTTATAACGATGATGCAATTTATCCCAATCATTTGCCAGTAACAGTAAACATTTCTATTTATTTAAAGCAATTATTTATAAACGTGCGGTCAAAGTTTACCAAATCATTAGAATATGAACGTTCAAGCATACAAGTTTGCAAAAAATGTATTATATTATTAGATAAAATTTGATAATGGATATATGTAATTTGAGTGATGAAATTGTGAAAAAATTTGATTGTGTTAAAAAAAATATTAAGTGAAAGTAAAAACATTTTAGATAAGGAAAAGTGGTTTAAATTAGTGGGGCGACATTTACGTTTGCTCAACCGGACATTACATAATTGCAATTCTATTGGAGTTCAGAGAAAAATCCATACAAATATCGGACATTTAAAAAGAATTAAAGTTTTGTTAACAAATTTAGGGCATGTTGGGCAGGGGTTGGGGGAAAGTAAACAGAAGTTCTAGAGTTAAATGGGTGGATGTAAATTCAGTATTTGCAGGTTGCATACGTTCAGGTTTAATAATTAATTTAAAACATAAAGACGCTATTCATTTTCTTGAAGATGCTTTGTTTCTATTCAAGTCTCGAATAAATAACATTCTTAAATCATTTCCAACAATAAAAGTAAACTCTGTATTTTGTGGCCAGTTTATTAAGGCAAATCCTATAACTGAAAAGGAAATTACTGAATTTAAATATTTTAACACTAAAAATGCCTCAATTGATATCAGTATAGATTTAAAGTTATGGTTTCAGGAGCATATTATAGATAAAATTTTGAATAAATTGGAAGAGTTTCAAGAAAAAGACTCAGGATTTGCGCTACAAAAAATAAATAGTTTAGAAATAAATATTAATGTTGTTGAAATGGGTAACGGCTCATCGTTCATTAGACTACCGGCGGTGATTGCTTGTAAGCATGCGTGCATCAACGTAAAAAATTATGATGATGATGCATGCTTTGCTTGGGCGATAGTTTCGGCTTTGTATCCCGCCGACCGCCATTCAGATAGAGTATCATCATACCCTCAATACTCGACAATTTTGGATTTAAAAATATTGAACTTCCAATGTCACTATCTCAAATTCAAAAATTTGAAAAACAAAATAACATTTCTGTTAATGTTTATATGCTAAAATTGTTTGGGAAGAATTTTCATACAGTACCAGCTCGTTTAACTAAAACTAAGTTAGAGAAACATGTAAACTTATTAATTATTCAAAATAAATATACAGATGAGCGTGAAAAAAGTAATGATGACGATGCTTCCGATGTTGAAATAAAGTATCATTTCTGTTGGATAAAAGACCTTTCCAAACTTGTGTCTAAACAAATGAGTAAACGCAATGGGAAACTGTACATTTGTGATATATGTTTAAATTATTTTTCTAGTGAAGTAAAATTAAATTTACATACAGTAGATTGTAAAAATGTTAATAAATGTAAAATATCATTTCCAAAGGAAAAAATTTTAAGGTTCAAAAATTATAATTATAAAGAGCCTATACCATTCGTATTGTACTGCGATTTCGAATCAATGCTAGAACCATTTTCCGAAATTAGTCAAACTAAAACTTTAAAATATCAAAAACATACTGCTTTCAGTGCGGGATTATATTTTAAATGTTCATATGATGATAGCTTATCATATTATTGTAGCAATCGTAGTATTAACTGTATAGAGTGGTTTTCAAAACAATTAGAGAATATTGGTGAATTTATTGAATTAAAACTAAAAACTATCCTGCCAAGGAACATTTTGGAATTGCAACATAGGGATTTTTCAATATCCACCCATTGCCATATTTGAGAAAAATCGTTTAAGATGAATGATAAAAAAGTTCATGACCACTGCCACTTTGCAGGTAAATATCGAGGTCCCGCGCACGAAGCTTGCAACCTAAATTTTAAGAAGCCATTTACAGTACCGATCATTTTTCATAATTTATCTGGATATGACGCTCATTTTATTATCAAAGATCTTGCAAAAACTGGTCGGATCTCATTATTACCGATCAATAAGGAAAAATACATATCGTTCACAAGAAATGTTGAAGGTTTGGCAATAAAGTTTCGGTTCATCGATTCTTTCCGATTTATGGCAGCATCACTGGATAAGCTATCATCATATTTAACAAAAGGGGAATTAACTAATTTACAAAAAGAATTTAGTAATTAAGATAGTGAAAATTTTAATATGCTTATGAGAAAAGGAGTATTTCCATATGACTATATAGATTCTGCGGAAAAATTATCTGAAACTGAGTTACCGACAAAAGAACATTTTTACAATAAATTAAATGACTCTAATATAAGCGATGAAGACTACCAACATGCTCGGAATGTTTGGGAAAAATTTAATATTAAAACACTAGGTGAATATTCAGACTTATATTTGAAAACTGACGTACTTTTATTGACGGATATCTTTGAAAATTTCAGACAAAAATGTTTAAATATTTATCATTTGGATCCTGCATATTATTATACACTACCTTGGTATACTTGGGACTGTATGTTGAAGTATATCCAGGTGGAGCTAGAACTTTTACAAGACGTTGACATGCTCTTGTTTATTGAGCGTGGTATTAGAGGCGGTGTAAGCCAATGCGTCAACAGGTATGCCAAGGCCAATAATAAATTTATGTCAGATTATGATCCCTCAAAAGTGAGTAATTACCTACTATATTTACCACTATATTTACCACTTATGCTAGAATAAATTGTATGTTTTTAGTTAGAACGTGAGACAAACATGGAATTACTGTCGCATCATATCAATTATATTAGTGAGCCATTTTTTATACATCTTCTTAGCGAATCAAAAAAAGACGCAGTTTAAAGTCGCGCTTGATTAACATTGACAGGAAAAACGTTGGGTAAAAAATGTTGTATTGCCGGCGGTTTTGCCGCATATTTACTTGATAGAACCATAAAATATGGTGAT